CATATGCAGGCACTTTTTATCAACTTCATGCTGCCTTTCTACATTTTTGCCAGAAGTATATGCTATTTTTTTCATATTTGGGTATGCTGGAATTTTCTACAAAAAGTAGGACGTTGAAGTTGATGAGAGCTGAAGGGCCTCAAAGGTCATCCCTACCTACTGTTTCTTCATTCGTTATCATATTTAACCAGTCCCTAAGTCCTGTGCATGGCTGCTTCTGAGCACCTACAGAAGCCACCTTACTCTCCAGATTTGCTTCTTTACTTTCATCAAGACTGTAGTCATCTCTCGTCTGCATTGCATCACCAACCTTGACCTTGATTGGTATCCTTAAGTTCAAATTTCTAACCTCGCCATGATCCCAAACCTGGCCATATTACTTTCTAGCATAATATCCTGCCATAATTTCTAGCTATCATCAAAGTAAACTCATGATTCCTTGGCATGGCCTGGAAGACCATTCAGGATCAGCCTTATATTTTATATTTGAAACCATATGTATTCCCTTCTACTCCAACCATCCTCTGAGTGGTGAATTTCCCATGATCTCTCATCTACTTTGGTCATCCTAGCTAGAGCATGCACCCCTTTTCCTCCCTCCCCCTTTTACCTCACCAACATTTATTTATCTTCTGGGCCCATGTTTGACGTTACTCACTCTAGGAAAACCCCTTGATCTTCCTGGCATGGTTGAATACTCATTTTCTGGATCCAAGGATCCAGAAGTTGTTATTTTAATACCACCCCCATTAATCTATAAACTCTTTCTGGTGGTGTACTGACTACATCTTACTACTCTTGCTTCCACAAGGCATCCGAGGGATGCTGATTCGGAAAGAAATGATGCTACCCAGTGCTCTCACTTACTAAAGAGAAAACTTCTAGCCATCATCACTCCTCACATCACTCCACAATGCTAAGCTGGTTGATTATTGTGAGGAATAAGCCTGGGGTCTCTTTTTGCTCTGGAGACATTTGAAATGAGATGTAATCAGTTCAATTATAAAGTCATTTTGCATCCCCCCTTTTATTTATCTCTTAAATAAGGAAATAAGAAATGAGAAGTAGGACACTACTTTTGTATCACAATTCCTTCTTGGAAGACAGTTCTTACCACTTTCTAGGGATCTATTTCTGTCTTGCCTCTCTCCATAACATTGAAGAAACATTTCCAATGTTTTGGTTCCTTCTTTTACTTTTATGTTACTTGAGAAGAAAATTTTGGGCTTCAGAGTTTATAAAAAACTCAGTTTCATGACCTGATACCAACTTTCTTACTTTGAGACCCAAGTATGACCCCCCATGCTTAATGGAAACAACATAATACAGCTCACTGGCTTAACTTGCTGCTTTCCTAAATTGTATTCCTATACCTGCGAACATTGTGAAGAAAGGTAAAAGTGGATTTTCTCAAGGAGATAATACAAATTATTCTTCCTTTTCTATTCCCTCCAAGGTCTCTCACTCTCACCCCATAAAATGTTACATCTCTTTCGTTACACCTCTCAGGAACATCAATCCTGAACATCTTAGCTATAGCCTAAAGTCTCAGGTGAGAATGTACATTCTGTCTTGCTAAGCATCTAAGTACCTGCTTTCCTACAGTGTATTGTATTTGGTGTTTTCTCTTGTGTTAACGCACCTGCTGCTTTGCTCAGGGGCAGATCTCAGAGTTCACGTTAATATCATCCTGAGCTTTCGAGTAAACTAGAGCGAGAGAGCAGACAACTGTCTTTGTATTTGTGCTGTAGTTTCCTCCCCTTTCTCCTCTTCCTTCTTCTCTTCCTTTCTGTTCCTCTTACTGGGCATTTGCATAACAAAATATGAATAAATTAGTAAAGAAGTAGATCCATCTATTACTCATATGACATACCTCTGGTGTATATATATAACACTAGCTTACAGGAAAACTTAAACAAGATGATGTTTCAAGCCATGCTGACAATTTGTAATTATCAGAACAACATAATGAAATGTCTCCCCTTAGTACATCCCAGCATGTTGGTTTAGTAGTCCCCTGACCCTTGCAAAAAGAGTTGTGTGTCATATGTTGTGCTGCATGTCCAAATACAGAACCTATTATGCAATATGCAAACATGTCCAAATATTAATCTAACAGTATTAACTTAATACCATTAATTTTCCAATTTACCTCCTATCCTAAAAGCGTGCATTCAATAATTCCAAGTCTGTGGGATGAAGGAAGACAATTAATGGAGCTTAAACTCAGTTTAAGAAACCAGGCATCTTTCGTCTCCCCATGCCTCCCAGACTTGAGTTCCTTCCTGGCCACATCCGTTCCTCCTAGATGATTTCCTTTGATGAGAAAGAGGAAATCGTGCGTGTGCGTGAGTGTATGTGTGTGTGTGTGCGCGTGTGTGTGTGTGTGTGTGCGCACGCGTGTGTGGTCCCTTCCTTGTTAATGATGTCCCTCACTTGTTTTCTTTTCCTTGTTTAGCTTCATTGTTTCTCTAAGTTGCTAAGTATGAGGTTGGAGGGTATAGCTCAGTGGCAGAGCACTTAGTAAGCACACATCAAGTCATAAGTTTGATCCCCAGCACCACAAAAATAAAAAATAGATTCATAACCTTTCTTTCCAGCACACCACACTATTATGTTACACGTGCTGTGTGCTGGGATTTTTTTTCCATCTTTTTTTCTAGTCACATTTTTTCTTGTTATTACATCTGTTTTTCCCCACTCTTTTAACAGACATTTATTACTCTAGTTGAACCTTTATATACAATTATTTGTTTTTCTGAATAGAAAAACATTCTAGGTCTCAAGGTTTTGAGTCTAGTATTTTCTGGAAATTAATAAAATCATCCTTCAAAAATCTCAAGAGGAAATTCAGTTTAAGAAAAGGATCAGTTAGATTTTAGCATTAAGCCAGAAAACCCACATAGGGCAATACCATATATTTCTTCTATACTCAAAAACTAGTCACTATGAGAAACTAGTCAAAGGCATGGCACAAACAGAAATGCAACAATGTGTGGCCTTTGTGAAATATCAAAAACTTCCAGGTAACATACCAGGGACAAGTAATCCCAGATACCATCTAAGGGTAGACTTAAACAATGAAATCATGCTACTAACTGGAGAGGTTGCTTTCTTTGACTACAACCTTTCCTCTTCATACTTATCTTTGGTCAAAGCAAAGCCTGTTTCTACAAAAGACCACACAGATATAAGCTTGTGCTAAATAATATAGCTTGTTTCTAAGAGGTGTTTTTAGAAGCTTGAGGGATGGTGATTATTCATATCCACACAAATCACAATGCCCAAAGATGGTTTGATCACACACACACAAACGCACACACACATACACGTGCACGATGTGACTTAAATGGTGTTTTTTTTTTTTTTGGATATCCACAGGGAGAAAATATCCAAAGACAGAAAGAGAGAGAGAAGCACTAGACATTCAGAATATGACGCCATATTGTTTTCATAGCATTAACCTTTTAAGTCTTGGGCTTCAAGTGTGTGTGTGTGTGTGTGTGTGTGTGTGTGTGTGTTTTAAAATGAGGACACATACTTAGTATAAATGAAGTACCCCAGTACCACAAAAAATAAAATAAAACAAAACAGAATAAATTAATGAAATGATGGTCTGCTTTAGAATTGATTAGCATATAACTAATATAACTAATAAGTTTAAATATGTTACCAAACTGCACTTTAAAATTGTTCTCACAACGTTTTGATCTGTGCAAAAGATTCGGGTACTTTAAGTTTCTGTAAAAATACCACTAAGGTAACATATGAACTTTAGTCAAGGATAAGGCATTGCTAAGGGATATGTTACCTTGGGATACTAATTAACCCAAAATAATGCATATAAATTCATCCAGCAACTAGTAGAAGAAGCAGTTCACAGAAAAGAGAAAAATCAAAGAAGTTCAAATAAAAATATTATCTTCTGATTGTAGCAAAGGGAACCAAAAACATGATAAAGACTCCCTCACAAGACCTTCTTTCCTAGTAGAATTTCATGTGAAAAAAGCAGCACCGTTGATTGTAGGCGCTGCACTGTACAAGGCAGCATCATTAACTGTAAGTGCTACACTGTATGATGGATGCCTAGAACCTACTCATCTTCATAATTGAATCTTTATGCCACTGACCAACACCTCCTCGTGTCTTCCTCTTCTGCTTTCCCTAATCCCGGCAGCCATTATTCTACCTGGATTTCTGAATTTGGCCACTTAAGATGGCTCATGTCCTTTAGAATCTTGCAGAACTTCTTATGTGTCTGGTTTATTTCATTTAGCAGACAGTATTCCAACATCCACATCACAAAAACAGGATCCCTTCCTTTATTTTTATCACTGAGTAATAGTCTAATGTATACCACTTTTCTTCATATAGACCGTTAACTAGTTTTCTGCAGAAATCTGCTGTGATATAAGTAAATCCCTTTTCTGTACATACTTACATGTATTGAAGAGGATGTAGAGATTACTGTTGTCCTCACTGTGAATTTGTGGCTGTTACTTATGACCATTTTATACACCGTTTGAAGAGGCACTATTAGCCCTGAGCTAATCTAAAGCTACAGACTGAGTAGCCCTAGGCATGACTGACCATCAGTATTACCCAAATGGCCTTGAATTAAGAGAACCTCTTGTTAATTTGCTATTATCTACATCTTATGAAGAATGCAGGTGGCAATGTGCCTTCATGCTCACTTGCTTGAAGCCTGGGGAGCACAACAAGAGACTGCTCTTAGAAAGCATCACTTAGCCAGGCGGTGGTGGCGCATGCCTTTAATCCCAGCACTCGGGAGGCAGAGGCAGGCGGATCTCTGTGAGTTCGAGGCTGGGCTGGACTGACAGCCTCGAAAACAATACAGAGAAACCCTGTCTCTTAAAAACCAAAAAAAAAAAAAAAAGCATCACTTACTCAGAAGCAAGACACCTCTACTAGTGGGACTGTGATTGACTGATGAGAGTCATGACTTAAGTTCTACTTTAAAAAATCTGACTCCAACCCAGTTTAGAAACTGCTAGCCTTTATTTGTCTCCATGGAATTTTTCATTTCTCTCTATCAGCTTTACACAGTTGCTTTCTTGATCAAAAGAGTTAAACTTAGTTGATTAAAACATTCTGTGTGCGTGAGCTAGCCATCATTCGAAAATGCGTTTCATGAAATTTTCCCTATTAGTTCCCTAGAGATGATAATTAATTATGTGTAGAAGGGAAGAATTTGTGTGAAAAATCCATTCATTTAACAAACAAAGAAATTGATAATAAATGTTCCTTGACCAAGTAGACTTGGCTTTAAAGAAAGACCTCCCAATGTCCTGACACCTTTCAAAGCATGAGGACAGGACACAGATCTGAAGATACAGTACATAGTTTGGGTCTAAGGTGGTCCTCATGCTGAGTCCACAGATGTAACTGAAGATAATTATTTCTCCCCTCTACTTATGTTCCATCTTCAGTAGAAAGGAAAAAAATACATGTTCTTCTTTACCCAGAAGCTATGAGGAGTGAATAAACAGACCCTGTCAGACTAGAATAGGCTCTAATGTCTATGAAAAAATTCCCCATGGTAACAGCATTATTGGTAAGCTTTGTCTATCCTTGGAACTGATCCAAGCCATACTGCTTAATACAATGAACTACAATCCCCAAATAACCAGATTCAAACAGAGTGTTTGAATGTGTTATTTGGTATAGAAGAAGGAATTACATTCCAAGGAAAATGAAAAAGGCTCTAACAGTCCATCATCCCACATGAGGGATGGCTAGAGCTCATTTGTACATGAGGACTCTGGCCCCTGGGCCACCTTCTACCAAAGAATACCTGTCTTTTCTAATAAAGCCAAAAAGACTACTTCCACAGCAAAATCATAGACATGGAAAAGAGATGCTCTAACTTATCCACAGTAATGGCCACATAGATACAGAACCAAATGGCAGGGACAAGCACCCTGGGAGCCCACATACCCTCATCTTGATGTCATCCTTTTTTCTTCTTGGCTAATTCAGTAATATACCAATAGAACATTTTGTAATGATAAGAAAATAAGGATCTTTCATCATACACATTGGACTAGCACTATTTAAGAAAGCAAGCATAAATTAAGGCCAAGGGCTGATTTAGTGTACAATTTCTAGTGCACTTTTTCTTATTAACACTGAGACAAATACAGCACAGACAAAAAATAAAAACTAAGGGGCTGGAAGTTTTAATGCGAGATATAAGCAAACCTTCATATAATTCTAATTGACTTTGATATCTCGGGAAAAACATTTCATTCCAAGTGGTAATTAGTCCTTGATGCGGACATAGGGTACTCTGATATCCACAAGCCAGAAACTATTTGAGGAGTTACTAATCTTCATTAGACATTGCTTATCAAAATCAAGGATACTTTCATGGCTATAGCATTCATATAAGTCCAGTAACCCAAACCAAGGAAAGCGTGATGGAAAATACAAGATACTTACTCTGTCTAACCCAGCTACAATGACTGAGCATGTGTACCCTGTGTTTCTAAATCTCAGCCCTTGGTGATGGCAAACACTACAAAATGACCCAACAATGCATGCTGCGCTGATTTTACAGGTGTCTTTTCTGCTCAGCACAAGAAAAATCTACTCTCCAGCAGAGAAAAGGGCTGGACCAATGGCCCAGTAGCAGCAAGGTGGTGAGATAGTGTTGTTTTTTATTTATTTATTTTCTTTCTTCTTTTTGCCCCCAAATAAAAAATAAAGCAATAATCTCATTGCATTAAATCCAAGTCCATTTTAGAATTCATCTTCAGAGCTGTCTGCTAGCAGCATCACTCTGTCTTGCATGCTGTTGAATTCTCTCTGCTGGGGAAAGAAAACAGGAAAGCATTAAGCTCTTGATCTGCAAAACCAAGAAGTAGACCCACTCTAAAGAACAGGGGAGCCGCTAATACAAAACGCCCTGAGCAGAAGTATTTCTTGCACCATTAAACCCTCTGTACTCTATCAGGCAAATTAGGCAAGCAGTGAAGAATGCTCTGCAACTGACTAGGTTTGCTCTTGATTCTTGCATACCTTCCTTTTATGCCTTTTGAAGCCATTTCTTCTTCGGCGATTCATAACCTTAATGCTGTAGAGTGCTCCCAAGATGAACAAGGCTCCAGCTATCCCTACCCCGACAGGCACCAGCATTCCAGACATGTAGCCAGCCTGAACAGAGAAGGAGAGAGACAGGTATCAGGATGCTACATAGACCACTCAATTCCTCAATTCCCGGTTTCCTTGTCCCTGCTACATGGTAACAGGTTTGTAGATCCTTTGCATCCTTCTGTCTGCTATGTTATAATTTAAAAGGAAACCTATAACAAAGGTTCTGCTTGGGAGTTTGGGGGGAAGAAAGCAACAGAGAAAAATAGCAACCTTTTTTTTTGATAATTTAAAACCCTTAGAAGTATGTTCGGAAATAAATCAGCCAGACCTAGTGGCCCCTCCAGCCACTTGATTATGCACATTTGTCAACATCAATTTTTGATGACAGAAATATAATTTGTACTAAAGATGGATGGAGTGGGCTTCTGAGAATGCCAGGGCTATTAAAATGCAATAAATTGGAAACAGCCCGAGTCGCATGCCAAGGAGTTGAAGTGTCCTCTGGAATCCTGTGTTCCTTGGAGGGTAAAGGAGGGCTTCTCACTCTCTTGCCCTCCCTTCCATCCTCTGTCTCCCAGTCTCCTCAGCTGTATTACAATAATAAAAGGAAAGATAAAAGTGCATTATGAATAGAAAGCAAGAGCACCACAAACAAGGAAAGAGACAGGCACCGGAATTAAGAGGTGGGTTAGCTGTTGGAAGACAAGGACAAGGAGACATGTGCACATGAAATGGGTCTCTGAGGGAAGCAATGTGCCCAGTGAATAAAACCGAAATAGTGTCCTCAGTCCCAGGCAAGCAGGCCACGAAGATCAATGCTGGCAACCTGGCTACTCCCCAGGGAGCCTCAGATGTTCCCAGCATACCCAAGGTGACTATGGACACCTGAGTCACTAGAGACCAGTGAGATCCTAGCTCATCCCATGCTTTAGTGAAGAACTCATTACCAGCTCAGTACTCCTGGAGCAAAGCCCTTTCCCAGAGGTAGATCTTTGCAGTAAAACCCCTGTGCACTGCATGGGTGTGCACCAACCTAGAACCTTTTCATGGGCGAGCATATGGCTACACCCCAACTAGACAAAATGCATTACCGTTATAACTTTTAAAATCTAGAATAAGTAGACAGTTTTTTTTCTGAGAGAGGATGAGTCTTTGTAACTACTTCCCCTTTAAAGATTTGTTCATTTAATTCATGTCTGCGTGTGACGTGTGTACATGTGTGCCTTAGTGTATGTGTGTTGCCATGTAAGTGCAGAAAAATCCATCACACCTAGTATGTGGTGGTTGTGAGCCACATGGGTTACAGGAGCAGAATCGGTTCCTCAGCAAGGACAGCAAAGGTTCTTAAACTACTGAGCCATCTCCCTAGCTCCTAATGAATTAATTTCCAGTCTAGAAAAACTATTTCTAGTGCCCTTCAGAGTAAGCCAAATTGAGACAGTACAGAGAGATGGATGAATGGAAAAGTAGACAGAAGACAGACAGACAGACCGACAGACAGACACACACACAGAGACAGAGAGACAGAAAGACAGAGACAGAGAGAGACAGAGACAGAGAGAGACAGAGACAGAGAGAGACAGACAGAGAGAGACAGAGAGACAGAGAGATAGAGAGAGAGAGAGAGAGAGAGAGAGAGAGAGAGAGAGAAGAGAGAGGGGGAATTTTCAGAAAGCACTTAGGCCTGTAGGCTGTACTGCTGTCTCCAAACCTGCATGCAGAAGCGCCCACCCAACCCCACCACCTGTGCTCAGCAGCTCCCTCACTGGTCATGTATCCCAGAGTTTTAAATTGGGGCAAAATATGGAAATATTTTTCATTAATTTAAAAATAATGGGATTCTTTTAAAATCAATGTAGTGTGTTCAACAGAGAAACAAATCCCAGTCATCAACAAATTCACACACTGTAGAAAAATCAAAGTTTTTCTAAAATTCCTGCAGATCCACTTGAATCTTGTAAACACTTCATAATCTCCCATATAGGGAAATATTGGACAGTCCATCATCACAAATACAGAATTAAAAAAATCAGCATTTTCAGTGCATTGAAGTGTAACATACTTAATGTGAAGAATGAAGAAATTAATGACCACATTAATGAAGGTTTTCAGGTTGTACAATCAGAGGACAATATTCTGTTCTTTGGAATGTCAAATAACGACCACTGTCTGAGCCTCCTGCAGATCTATAGCCTAACTCCATACCAACAATGTGGGTATTCAAAATTGCACACACATACACACACACACACACACACGCACACACGCGCACACGCGCACACGCGCACGCACACACACACGCACACACACACGCACACGTGCACACGCACACACACACACTCGTAGACACACATTCAGTTGTGTCTTTCACCTTTTTAAGGTATGTGGTTTGCCTTCAGCTCACTTCTAACACAATGTAACCACATAGTTTTCAAAGCTGACTAAGGCAAAATGAGGTTTTCCTCAGGGCTGCCTATGACTTAATTTTTTCAGAACTAAAATAACATGGTATGAACTTACTTTTTAAGTTATCAATTCTGCCTGGTAGCTTTTTTTTGTTCAAAGTCATTGGCTGTGCATATGCATTCAGAAATGGCATCCAGAGGATGCAGTTTAACCATGTGTTTTATCCAAATCATACTATTCAAAGTGAGTCTAATCATGGCAAAACAGCCAGCAAGCCTAAAATGATGGGTATCTAATTTTATATAAAAATATTTCTCCAAAAATATGTATATTGTAAAAAATGAAAGACAGGTATAAAATGATGAAAAGAAATGGAAGAAGTATGGTGTAAATGGAGGTTTTTTGGGGGGGTTTTACGAGACAGGGTTTCTCTGTATTGTTTTGGAGGCTGTCAGTCCAGCCTGGCCTTGAACTCACAGAGATCTGTTTGCCTCTGCCTCCTGAGTCCTGGAATTAAAGGCGTGCACCACCACCGCCCGGCGTAAATGGAGTTCTTAATTGCTCTAAATAATAAAACCCAGCGTCAGATATAGAGGAAAATGCTGAGAGGCCAGAGAGAAGCAGGAGCAAGCCAAAGCCACCTTTACCTCATTAGCTTCCCAGTGGAAAACAGTGAGTTTCTGTTTCTTCCTGCTTATATCCTCTCTCCACCCAGCCATTATACTTCCTGTCTGTCTGTTCAGCCCTCCAGACCTCTATGGTTAGCTAGTGCCTAGCTCCATCCTCTGATCTTCAGAAAGCTTTGTTTGTACAAGCAAGATATCACCACAGTATGATAAAAGGATATGTTATGTAATCATGGATGGGATCTTACACTAGAGACGAAATAGTATTTTATGAGTATCATCTTTGGTCTGTTGAAAAGTTGCACTGCAGGTATCAGAGAACACAAATGTACTGTAGCTGTGTTAAATGGGCTCAAGCTAAAAACTGCAGTAAGATATGATGGCAGAAATGTTTTTATTCTCAGAAGATACACACTGAGGAGTTATGAATAAATATGGCATAATCCATGCAATTTATCATCAGATGGTTCAGGTAAAAATAAGGGAAGGGAATGTGTTCACAAATAAAAAATCCAAGGCAGTAAAATGTTAGCAATTGATATATCCATATTAAAGTGGTAGAGAGATTCCTGGTGCTATTCTTATTTTTATATTTTGCCTATGAATTGTAAATCATTCCCCTTTGAAGCATAAGCAGTTAAAATATAAACAAACAGAAATCTACTATACATACTTGCATTTATGTGCTTGCCTTTGAAATTTTCTTAAGAAAATACCTATGTTCAGAAACATCTGTTTTCAAGAAAGCTATAAGAAAGCCCTTGGAAGGCACTGAGGATGTGGTTCAATTGGTAGAGTCCTTGTCTAGCATGCACGACATCGTGGGTTCGGTTCCCAGCTCCTCATTAAACCAAGCACAGTGGCACACACCTGTCATCACATCATTTGAGAGGTGGAGGCAGGATCAGAAATTCAAAGCCATCCTCAACCACATAGTGAGTTAGAGGTCAGCGTGGGCTACATAAGGCTCTAAAAACAAACAAACAAACAAACAACAAACAAACACACAAACACATATTGCATTGCACTGCCTCAGATCTGCTGTTCTAAGACTGGGCCTTGTGCTCTCCACGCATGTAGCAGTATCTCTCCAACTGGTGCAAATATCAGAGTGACTTGTCAGGCTTCATAACACGGACTATTGGACCACATCCTAAGAGTTTTGAACTCAGGTCTGGAGTGAGATCTGAGAATCTGAGTTTCTGACAAGCTCACGGGGCTTCTGAAAATGCTGTCCCAGATGCCACCTTAAAAATCTCCGTGATGAAATACAATCTGTGTCACTATTTTCTAGACACTTCCTTAAGGATAGAAGAGGCAGAATGGCTTTGGTGACAGTACCAACACTGTCTTTATTGTATATTTTCATTTCTGAGAAGCAATTTTGATGTTGGAAAGACACAGCAGTGGGTAAGCGAGATAAGCTTGGTCTAACAAATACCATCAATGTGTACATTTAGTCAGGAAAGTTAAGGTATGGGAACTAATTGTCTGTCAATACCCATTTTCCTTGTTTGGTAGTTAAACAATTTCTTTGTGTAGACCTGACCATCCTGGAATTCACTATGTAGACAGGTTTGCCTCAAACTCATAGATATACCTGCCTCTGCCTCTCTAGTTCTGGGATTAAAGGTGTGCACCACCAGTGTCTGGTTGGCTGAACAATTTCTAATCTCAGATGAGAGGCAGAATTAAATTACTTCTCCTTCCTTGCCTTTCCAGAAGCTGAGCATTATTGAGGAATCAGCTGATAAATCCACGTATGCTGGATAGTTTTATATCACCTGGAAAAAAAGTATAGTCGTCTGAGAGGAAGTGACCTCAATTGAGAAAATGCCTCCATAAGATTTGCCTGTAGGGCATTTTCTTAATTAGTGATTGATGTGAGAGGGCCCAGCCTATTGTGGGTATGGCCACCTATGGACTGTAGGTCCTGGGTTCTATAAGAAAGCAGACTGAGCAAGCCTGTAAGCAGCACCTCTCCATGACTTCTGCATCAGCTCCTGCCTCCAGGTTCCTGCCCTGCTTGAATTCCTGTCCTGACCTCCCCTGATGATGAACTGTGATGTGAAAGTGTTAGCCATAAGACTCCCACAAGTTTTTTTTTGTTTATAGCGTTTCATCACAGCAATACTAACCCTAACTATAGCACACAAAGATTCATATGGAGATAGCTTAGTTAGATATGCCGTTAAGAATCAGGGATTACCCTTGAGAATGGATGTGGAGAACGGTATAACATCAAGCTGTAGCAGTTTAGCCTGTTTTTGTGTCACTGCCCATGAGCCTTTGACTGCAGCTATGATGGGTAGGAGCTTCCTGTTACTCATGATTTGCCTTAATATTAACATCAAAGACCTAAAAAGTCAGCAAAAGAAACAAACCAGAACTTTTGAAAACTCTTTATGCTCTAAAACTCCCGTAGCTAACAGAGACCTGATATTGAAACACTTCATGAAACTAGATTCAGAGGGTGTTTTGGTTTGGTTTAAGAACTCAGTTGAATATGTGTTTAGTTTTCAGCCTAAGGCATTCAGTGACTTTCAGCAGAGGCAGAAGCCGGGCTCCCAAATTGCTTCTGCAAAGGGTTCCTAGAAAGAACTGATATTTACATGCAGATTATAAAGTTTGCAACATCTAACCTCATTACAACTTTATGCCAAATTTTAAGCCTGTGAAACCAGGCTTTTTGTCATATATTTTGAAATCTTTCTCAGTATAGCCTTCTAAATCTTTCTCTGTCCATCTGAACATATTCTTTGACATAACTAGATCTATAACAAATACCCAATATGGCAGCCTCTGACCTCAATGGCCTGAAAGTTTCCTTTATCACTTTTAACGTGAATGAAAACAAAATAACCTATTCTAAAAACCTACATATATGCAAATTTTTACTGAGAAGCAAAAGGGTATTGAGAACTACTATACTCACATAATTTCAGTTGCAATAGGATGCCCTATTCTTTAACATTAAGTTATAGCAAAATTCAAAACTACTAATTCCAAAAAAACCAAAACTACTAATTCCAATATAGGAAAACTGTCTCAAATAATAAAACAAAATCTATGAAAAAACATAAGCAGAGATGTTTTGAGGCCAGGAAACTGCAGACAACTAAGTGTCTGACCATTAAAAAGGTTTTCAAGCAACTGAAATCCCAATTAAACCTGACCTGAGGTGTGCTAATGGGATCTGACATAGGTTACACCAAGGAATTCAGAATTCCATCAGTACCTTGAGGAGTAGTTCCAGTTAAAATTACAAAGTTACCCAATGTAAAAACTTAGAGAGGATTGAAAATCAAAAGAAAATGGAAGTATGTACCTGGCAAGGAATTAATATTGTCAATCAGTGTTTTAAATGTATCCAGGGGAGGGAAGTACTTTTCCACAGCTGGCCATGCAGACAGGGTGGCTAGTTACTGCCTCGTGACAAGTCACATCATAATAAGCTACACACCTAGGGCAGTTTCCTGTTTCACAGACAAAACTGAACAACATTGTCAATATCCCCTAAAAGAAACTCTGCCAGGTAGATCGAGGATCTTATTCAGCTGGGCGTACCACACGCGGTAACTGTTTTCACTTTTGTGATAATAGGGCGTGGCTTAGTGGTTAAGGGGGCTTGCTCTTTGGGGATGGAGAGAAGGCTCAGGGATTGAGAGCACTGGCTGCTCTGGTAGAGGACCCAGGTTCTGTTCCCAGCACCCACATGGTGGCTCACAACTGTCTTGTAACTTCATTTCACATACATTCAAGAGAAATGCTCATACTCACCAAATAAAATGAACAAACCTAAGAAAAATGTTTTGGGAGTACTTGTCATGCAACTACACGATCTGAGTTCAGATCCCAGAACCCACATTGCAATTGGATGGCAGGTCTCTCGCATGTCCTGGTGCTGTAAGGGGTGGAGATGGGAGAATTAATGGGGCTCAGTGGCTGCCAGTGTACCCCAAAGCTACCAGCTCTGGGTCCAATGAAAGGCTCTGCCTCAGAAGAACAAGGTAGAGGTTGGTAGAAGATGACACCTGACTCCATCTACTGGCCTCCCTATATGCATACGCATACATACCTACACGTATATATGAACATATACCACACACACACACACACACACACACACACACACACACGCACGCACGCACGCACACACGCACGCGCACACACACACACACACACACACACACACACACACGCACACACACACAGAGGAGGTGGGGTGGAGAGGTGCTGAGGCTCCAGAGAAAAAGGAATCTGTCTCCTGTGTGCTCAGTGAAGGAATCTGAAGGTAATACCTCTCCTGCTGGAGGCCCAGAACTGCAAATTTGAAACTCCATTATTATTATTATTGCTATTATTTTATTACTATTATTATTGTTTGTATTGCAATTTAATTACAACATTCATCCCCTCCCTTTTATCCGTCCACACTCTCTCATGTCCCTCACAGCTATCCTTCAAAGTTATGGCCACTTTACATGCACATGTGTGTGTGTATGCATACATATTCGAATTCCTGAATGGTAACCTGTGGGAACTCCACTGTTGGGCAGATCTTTTATTTGCCCTTCAGTATAGGTCAAAGGAAAGAAGAGAATCTCCTTACCTTGTCTTTCAGCTTTTCCATCCAACTTCTCACTAGGAAAAACAAGAGAATCAGATGTAAATAGCCATCTCTTACTTACACTCCACAGTATTGCATTAACGTGTTAATTTGATACACTGAACGCTTTTTGCATGGAATATACTAAAAGTATCAACAATATTAACAGAATGATATCAATGAATTGTTTTGAGACTGGGTCTTTCTACATAGCTCTGGCTTTCCTGGAACACTCTATGTAGACCAGGCTGGGCTTGAACTCAGAGGTTTGCCAGTCTCTGCTTCAGAATGCTGGGCTTAAAGGTATGTGCCAGCAAGCCACTTACTTAGAAACGCAACGCAGAGCGAAAGCACTCCCCATGTCGTTTTTAGGTGAATAGGGAATGCTTTGGCATGCTAGCTGAGCTCTTTATACTATTCAGTGCACTAGGAGAAGGGACAGGAGAAAAGAGACAGGGAGTCGCTTTCAAGTGCAGAGCTCCTGTGTCCTGTGATAGCTTTTCTTTAACCGGATACCTTGTTTGTCTCTGTTCTTAGGATCAACGAGAATGCTTCACTTGAAGCGCATCTGACAGCGGAGAGCAGGGAAGGAGAGGGTAAGGGTGCACTAAGGCAGCCCCGCTCTGGTTCCAAAGGGAAGCGTTATAACCACATTTGAAGAAGACAGAACGGGGCCAAGAACTCACTACTCTACAACAACCACCATTAATAGTAGAAGCAACAAGAGTGAAGGGCTTAATGAAGACCAGCTAAGTCATTCTATTGAAGTCCTGATGACAGCCATTTGCAAGTCTAAAAGGTAAAGAGAAAGATGTTATTTAAAGTACGAGGGGTGACATGAAATTGGAGGTGGGCATTTCCCCCTTCACTGACTTTTAATGTTACAGCATGCTGATTACGCATAAAAATATGGGTGGGGGAGACAGTGTGCCTTCATTGTACCTTAATCATCAAGTACAAAGAATTCAGCAAACACATTAAAGACAAAAGATGAAGCTGCTCTGGAAGCTTCAACAAGTAGAAAGGGAGGACCCCGAGCTGCTGCTTTTTTTCTTACAGTCTCAAAGTAAATGTATGAACTCAAGATGGCTACAGACTTTCATAGCTACCCAGTTCTGCTGCTGCCACGCAAAAGCAGCCCAGGATGGTCGACAAGCAAATGTGCTCAGCTATGTTCTAATGAACCGTATTTATAGACACCGAGATTTGAATTTTATGTAATATTTATAAGCCATAGTCATTTTTTAAAAATAAAATTAAAATATAAAAATTGTACTCTCACAAGTTATATAAAAACAGGAGGCCAGCCAGAGTTGGCCATGAGCCATAACTTGGACCTCTGGAATAAGAATACTCTACTCAAAAGTCAACACCTCCATTTACAATTTGACTCACACAATAAGGTATTTGATCATGCTGACAGTGCTGCCATGGCTATGACTACTTCTTAGAAAGCACATGCACTGTAACATGTAACCCATGAGCTGGAGAGCATGAGACCCAGGTAAGCCTATGCTCACAGGTCAGCTGCGGTGTCTCCTGCCCACAATCTCAGCATTCGGGAGGCTGAATCATGAGGATTGCTCAAATTTAGGGTCAACTTGAGCTATAGCATGAGACTGTGTCTCAAAAAAATGAGATTATGTTTATGCTCATAGAAAAGATGGGTTCAGAGAAGTTAAGAGACACCTGCATTCAGCCAGTGACTACTTAAAGGAATGCCAGCTTTGTTTCTAAGAGTGAGACGTCTCTTCTCTTCATCTCAAATGTGGGCATACCCTTTTCCACCTCCTTTAACTGGCTTCGACCTCTCATGCAAAGATGTTATCAAACCTCTCAGGACTGCTCTGCCCTCGCTGTTCTGTACCAATTGGGTTGAGACAGAGATGAGGTAACTGATCTGGATAAGATCACAGTTATAGGATGGTCAGAACAAGCTTGTCTAGGAATTTCAGAACCAGGCCAGGGATGGGTGCTTCCAGGAGTGAGTCCACCAAGAAGGGAGGTCAACCACTGACTCTCGAGGAACTAATGAACCCGAAGACCCTCTGCTCCTCTATGTAAGGAAGAGAAGACAACAGATGCTTTGGGAGGCCATTGTAAAGATTAGAAATGTCATATGCAAGATTACAGTATCGTATCAGATACAGACTCCAAGTAGGAAGAAGAAAGACAAGTGAAATATGGGGGTTGTGTTACTATTTCTCAAATCCAAAACAGATTTCAATGCAAGCAAGAGAATATTCAAAATTCATTCATTCATTCATTCATTCATTCCCCCCCAAAATTGGTGTTTGATCAAGCATTGTGCCCTGTTGTGTCCATAATAATTCAGTAGATGCTAATGGGACCTACTTGTGGTGGTTAATGGGCTCAGCTATCAAGTCTCTAAGAGGTAGATAACAAAAAGTAGTTTGGGGTATGAGGAAATGAGGAACAGAGTCCAGAATCAGAAAATAGGCTGGATGTTATATAGAGGACTAGACATGGCAGATGGGGCCAGGGTGACTAGTCTCAGACAGAAGGACAAGAGAGCAGGACAGGAGGCAAAGATCAAGGCTGCATTGAAGGCACCTGTAGGCTTTTCCATGTAAGTGACTCATTTTCAACTTGTGCCTCAGCTGGGAAGCTACCCGTATCTGACGTTTGTGGAGTAAGTTTTATGGAGCCTGTGATTGTTAGGCTTTGTGATTTGTTTAGTTGGTATTTTTCAGTGGTGTTTGTGTGTGTGTGTGTGTGTGTGTGTGTGTGTGTGTGTGTGTGTGTGTGATTTTTGTCTCAAGTTTTTTTAATGGAACTTGGAAAGGACAACGCTGTAACAAGACCACTGCCCTTCATGCAGCCAGACAAAAAAGCAGGCCTGAATAAAGGCCACACAGAAGTCTCAGGTGACATACTCCCTGATAAAAAAAAAAGCAGAAGGGTTTTTGTTTTAAGGTCAGAGACATAAGAATGCCTAATGTTGCCACTTCTGTTCTATACAGTAACTGAAGTCCTAGTCGGTGGAGTTAGGTAATAGGGAGAAAAGACCATCTACTTTTGGAAATTAATAACATGGGAAAATGTAAATTAAAATCCATAATATTTCAAAGATACAACCCTATATTTTTGGTTGTGAGCCTAGCCTTTAGCAACTGAGCCATCTCTCCAGGCCCTGAGCCATCCCTCCAATCCAGTTGGCTGGCATGGGCAGTTTGTTGGGCTACTAGCAGATGAACCTGTGTTTATCCTTAGTGCATGAACTGGCTTTTTGGAGCCCATTTCCTATGGAGCGATACCTTGCTCAGTCTAGATACAGCGGGGAGGGACTTGGTCCTGGCTCAATTGATTCGACAGACTTTGTTAATTCCCCACAGGAGGTCTCACCCTCTCTGAGAAGTGGATTGGGGGTAGGATGGGGAGAAGGTGTGGGGAACAGGAGGATAGGAGGGAGAGGGAATTGGGATTGGTATGTAAAATAAGACTGTTTTTAACATTAAAAAGGAAAAAAAGATACAACCCTAAATATGTGTCATTCACATCCACAGACAGAGACACACAAATGCAGAGGTATACAGCCACAAATGCACACAGAGACACACACATGTACAAAAAGACAAATTAACACATGCACACACACACACACACTTGCATGCATACACACATAAATACACACACTTGAAATCTGGAAGAACTTACGATTGTATTGAGTAAAGTTATTGAATACAAAATCAACATGTGAAAATTTATAGTATTGCTATATATCAGCAAACTATCCCCCCAAAAAGGAAAAAACAAACCCATTTACAATAGAAATTTAAAAAGTCAAATAATTAGGAATGAATTTTGCCAAGGAAGTAAAGGTCCTAAGGATAAAGGTCCTATGAATAAAAGTAGTCAAAGACACAGGAAACTGCAAAGTTGCCCTGTCTTCATGGATGGGAAGAATTTCAATATTGTTGAAATGTCCATAGATCCCCAAGAAATCTGTTGGTTCACTGAGCTCTTCAACAAAACTCTGATATTATTTTCCACAGAAATCAAAGGCACAATCTACAATCCATATGAAACAAAATCAAATATTTAAAGCCACTTGTCTGTTAAGGAGTAAATAAACTATATGAGACTAAAATGGCTCAAGAGCAAGAAGGTGAATACCCTAATTTAAGGTAATCCCAGCACTCAGACGGTGGATCAGCTCAAGGCCAGCCCTGTCTATTTAGCAAATCCCAGGCTACTTGGGATTACATAGTGAGACCCATTCTCAAAACAAGAACAACAAAGTTGAAAAGGGCAAAGGTTAAAAAAACGACAAAAAGACCTGAATAGACATTTCTCCAAATGATGGCCAATGGGAATATGAAAAAAAAATACACACAGTATTACTGACTATATCCTTTTTTGTGTTACTCTAACAAAAACTCCAGAGGCTGGGCAGCTGATAAGAAGAGAGGTTTATTTTAGCTCAGATGGTAGATGGCAGAAGGCCAAGCGCTGGTTGACCTTGTGTTGTCTGGTGATGGTTCTATGGCTTGTTCAAGAGGCCACGATAAGGAGGGACGTGTGGGTCAGAGCAGCCACTCTGGAGTGCATATAAAGGCTTTGCTGAGTTACAGAGGAAAGGCTTATGAAAAACGGGGACAGGGGTCCTTACCCGACTCCTTGTTTATCTTCTCTTCTCTGCCTGCACTCGTTGACAAGTGTCCTCTTTGTTGTTGCTTTATGTCTATCGTCTCCTGACTCTGCTGATTACCCTCTGTGTGTCTTGTTATTCATGTCAACCTTGCTGCTTACTCCCACTAAGGAAGGGAACTGGGGTGATGGATGTTGAGTAGGTGGCTTCCTATCTCTCCAGTGTGGATCTCATCCAGACAGAATGAACTAGAGTTAACAGTTTCATCTTAGCCCGAATATTCTCCAGCTCCTTTGTGTGTACCATGAAGGTAGGCTGGCCCTTTGCCGTATCAGTTTTACTCACTTTGTTCAGTAAAACAAAAGAATTAATGTGAGCACTAGGAGAAAGGAAAGGAGTGGGGGCATGCTGGCCAAGTTCAAG